CCCCCCCCCTCGCCTCAGCCATGTCCCTCGCCACGATCCCTCAGATCTCGGCCGAATGGACACAGGTATGTCCCTGCCCTCGCCCCTCCGCCCCCGTGTGATCCCCCTTCCCTCGCGCGCCGTCCCCTCGGCACGCTTTGGCCCCCAGCCTGTCTCACCTCCTGCCGGTGCATGTGACACCCCCCGCCACAGGTCCTCCTCGGCGAGGCGGCCTCCGTCCTGTCGGCCCTGCGCACCGCGATGGCCACACACCGGGACTACGGGACTCTGCATGTCCTGTCCCAGCGTCTGGAAGCCCTGAAGGCCGATGTGGAGCTCCACCGGGATTATGACTTCATGGCGCAGCGGGTGTGTGTTAACCACTGCCGGGTGTGCTCGCCGGCCGGGGGGCCCCCCTGGCCGGGGCAACCCGGCGGCCTGCCCAGCTGGCCGGTGTGCCTGAATGGCCCGCTGACAACGCTGCTGGAGCCGTTCCTCTGTTGTCTGGAACGTGGCCAGGCGCCGGCCGGTGTGGCAGTGTCGGTTCTCGGCAGCCTGGAGCGTCTGCTGACGGCCGGGCTCCTGCGCGCCGGGCCGACCCCCTTCTTCTGCCTGGCCAGCAGCCAGGCCCCCTTCGCCCTGCTGCACCAGCGCATGCAGCAATCGTCCGCCCTGCTGGCCGTGTGTGGCATCCTCTCCCGCCATACCCTGGACTCGGAGGATTTCCTGGCCAGCGAGGCGGTCCTCCTGCACATCACCCAGGTCCTGCGCGCGGTGTGCGCCGTGTCGGAGCAAACCCTGACCGAGGCATCCGCCGGGCTGGACACCTACCTGCAGCTTCTACATGGGCATTGGGCCTTCGGGGCGGCGCATGTTCCCCTGCCGGCCGATGTGGGTTGCCTCACGGACGCCGGGCTTTCCCAGGCACTGGTCATTTGCCTGTCCATTGTGACCCACCTGCGTCTGAGTGAATTCGTGCGCCAATCGGCCGAGAGTACCTTGCATGCATTGGTCCGGCACATGGGCCGCCGGTTGCGCTTCTTCGTGCTGGTGTCCTCGCGCGTGGGGAACCCCTGCAGCCAGGCCATCCTCAAGGACCCCGCCGCGAGTGGGGCCTCCCCTTCGGGCCGGCCGGCCCCCATGGCCGGCTCGTGCGCCTGCCCGGATGACTATCACTTTGATGAGGTGCTCCTGGCCACGCAAATGGATCGGGCCTTTCACTTTGGCGGTGCCGGGCCCTCGGGCCCGGTGACCATTGTCCCCTCGGAGCCCACCCTGCCGGTGGCCACGGCCGGGGCCGATGCCGGCGGCGGGCTGGCCGCCATGCCGGGCTGCGCCGGCGGCACCCCGGCCCCGGAGTCTCGCGCGGCCGTTCGCTCGTCGTACCAAACCCGCGATGGGGTCACCCCGCGCGATGGCATCGTTCACACCTCCTCCATGGCCTTCGACTTCTATGAGCGCCCGGTGTCCACCTGGTTTGCGGACCTCTTTGACCGGCTGCTGGAAGGCGAGGCCGGGGCCCGGGCCATTGCCGAGCGTGTCCGGCCCCAGGCCCGGCCTCCGGGGCTCTTTTGCGGGTCACTGGCCGCCGTGTTTGTGCTGCTGCGCTATTGCGAGGCCTTCATCAACCCGGCGGAGCTCCACAGCACCGACACCCTGCGCCTGCTGGGGCTGAACATGCTGTGTGCCCTGTTCGAGGCCGGGGCCGATGCCCTGGGGCAGCTTCGCCTGCTGGCACATGCGCGCCTGCCGCAGGTGATGAAGCACCTGTTTGGCCTGCTCGGGGCCGCCGGGGTCGGGGGTCTCGGCGGTGCTGGCCCCGGGGGCGGCGGCGTCCTCGGCGTGGCCGGCGGGCTGGGCGGAGCCGGCCCCGGCCCGAGCCCAAGCGGGCCCAAGTCCGACCGGGCGGCCGTGCTGCTGGCCATGGCATCGCGCTGCTTGCAGCTCCTTTTCCATGCGAATCCCCGCCGGCTGCGGACATATCGCATCTTCTTCCTGAAGAGTGCGGCCCGGCGCTTCCGCGATCCCGACTGCCCGGGCGATGTGAAGTTGGCCTTCTTGGAGCTTCTGCGCGCCCTGCTGGTGGACATTCCCTTCCAGGCGGCCTCCGACCCGCGGGATACCATCCTTCGCCCGATGTACCCGGAACAGGCGCTCTTTGTCAATGTCGACTGTGTCCTGGGGCTGGAGAATGTCTTCACCACCTGTGTGCGTCGGCCGTCGCCGGGCATCTCCCCTTGGCCATGTCCTTCTTTCCTTTGCCTACCCCCCTCCCCCCCCCCCCCCCCTCTCGCTCTCCTCCCCGCGCGCGCGCACACACACACACACACACACACACACGTCTCCCTCTCTCTGCCTCCCTTCGCCCTGACACGTGTGCCCTGGGCCGCATGGTGCTTCTAGCTGCAAGCGGTCAGTGAGTTTGCCTCGCCACCGGCCGGGCCCGGGGTCGGGCGGCCGGAGGACCGCTTGAAGCTCCAACTGGTGGCCGAGAGCATCATCCAGCTGCTACTCCGGCGTTTGGTCTTCCGGTCGCGCTCGCGCGCCGGAACCGGCGCCATCGCCACCAGCGCGGTCGATGTGGCTGCCTACAATCGCGATCTCTTTGATCCGCTCACCCATGCGGCCGGGCTGGCCCACTTCGCCACATTCGATCCCACCTCGAGGGCCGACCCTGCTGGTGGTCCGGCACGCAGCCCGGACGGCCAAATGGTGGAGTATCTGCTTGTCCATGCGCGCGTGCAGAAACTTTGGCTCCTCCATGCGGCTGGCATCTTCCATGAGAGTACACACAAGAATGCCCTGCAGCGGCTGCATGAGCGCGGGGTCATCTCTTCGGTCGACGATCACCAGGAGGTCGCTCGGTGTGTGGCCGTGCTCCCTCGCATGTTCCCTTCGCCGGGCTTGGCCCCTCTGCCCGGCTCCTGGCCTCGGCTCCTCGCCGGCCCTTGGCCCTCCCTTCCCCCGCTGAAACGTCACCTGACCCTCCTTTCCTTGCCCTCTCTCTCCTCCCCCCCCCCCTCCCGGCTATTTTCCCTCGCGCCCACCATGCCAGGCTCCTCCACTTGATGGGCTTCGCCCTCGACAAGAAGCACCTGGGGGCCTTTCTCCGGCATGGCGATAACCAGCCGATCCTGAAGGCCTTCCTCGAGCAGATCGACTTCGCCAACTTGCGCCTGGACCATGCCTTGCGGTGCGTGTGCTGCTGGCCGTCTCTCTCTCTCACACACTCGCTTTCTCTCTCTCTCTCTCTCGCATGAAGCACACCTTGCCTTGTTCTCCGCCGGGATTTGGCCCTTTCCTGGGCCATCGACCACCGGACACATGTGCCCTCCCTTGTGGGTATTTATCTCCACGCCCCTTCCCTGGCGTTGACTCTCCGCCCCTCGGCTTGGTTCTCCTCTCGCCTGGCCTCTCCTCCGGCAGCCGGACGGTCGAGTACTTCCACATTTTCGGCGAAACCCAAGTCATCGACCGTGTGCTACAGACCCTCTCCCAGGTGTATCTGTCGCAGCAGGAGCCGATCCCCGGGACTTCGGACGCCGCCACGGCCCAGGGGGTCACGGTGCATGTGGATGGGGCGTATATCTTGCTCTTCTCCATCATGATGCTGAATACCGATCAGCACCGTCCAGACCTGAAGCAGCGCATGACCGTCGAGGCGTTCCTGTCGAACAACCGAGGCATCAACAATGGCGAGGACTTCCCGAAGGAGTTCCTGACCCAGATCTACCACGACATCAAGAAGTGCGTGCCCCCGGCCGGCGGGCCCCATGGATCACGGCCCGGGGAGGAGCCCGTTCTTCCCATGCACTTCCCCCCCCCCCTTGCTGACATGTGGTCCATTCCCTCGACTGCGTGCCCGCCGGACGCGGAATGCCCTTCCCCCCCCCCCGGCACAGCGATGAGATCAAGTACCCCGAGCATTGGGACAACTCGCTGACCGACGACCTGAACTGGGGCCTGGCCACGCGGGCTCCGGCCTCGGAGGACATCCTGCGCTTTGTGGATGCGGACGATTTGTCGCTCTTGTGCGATGCCAACCTGCTGATGGCCATCGGCCCGGCCCTGGTCGACTCGCTGGCGGCCATTGTCCACCGGCTGGGGAGCTCCCGAGCCGGGGCCGGGATCTTTGACCACCCGGCGCTGCGGGCCAGCACACGGAAGAACCTCGGCGCCGGGAGTGCACACGGTGGGGCCGGGCCCGCCGGCTCCGGCACCTCGGTGCCCGTTGGCTTCCACCACAACCATCACCTGACCCCGGGGCCGACATTTGTCCAGGCCGGGTCGTCCCGACTGCCGCCCGATGAGCCGGCCTTTTGGGATGCCTGCTACCAGGGGTACCTGTCCGCCCAGCCGGGGCTGGATGAGCCGGCTGCCGGGCCCTCCGGCCCCGAGCTGGACGAAGACAACTGGCAGGATCCCGCCAGTGATGAGGATGCGGCAGCCATGGCGGCCGATCCGACGACCGCCATGGCCACCACCGCCGGCGCCAAGAGCACCACGGTGGCTTCGGCCTCGCCAAGCATTTCGGCCACATCGCCCAGCGCACCGGAGGCCCTGTCCCCGGTGGCCCGGGTGCTCAAACTGCTGGAAGACCTGTCGGACATTGCGGCCGAATTTGAGAATACCTTCCTCTTCAGTCGCGTCGTACGTGCTGCCGCCCCTGCTGGCTTCCTCCGACCTGCTGGCCCTTTCGCGCCATGCGCCCTTGGCCGCGCCCGGGCCCGCATCGACCATGGTCCACCTTTGCCCCGGTGCTGACTCTGACCCTCGCCGCCATGGCCGACCGATAGATCAACCACTTGGCCATCTTCTCCAGTCTGCTGCCCCTTTCGGTGAGCTACCTCCCTCCGCCGGAGGCTCCCTCGCCCCCGAAGGACGTGGTCTTGGTCTCCCTGTCACAGCCACTGGAGCCCATCAGCCAAGTGATGCCGCCCCTGAGCCAAGTCAATGATGAGGACCTGCTTGGGTGGCTTCGTGACCGGGGGGCCAATCGGGAAAGGCGGCTGGCTCGCTTTGGGGCAGCCTCGGACGGCATCTGCCGGATGTCTGCCTGGCTTTTGTTCTCGCAGATCCGCAAAGTGCGTGGAATCACCAAGGCCAGGAGCTCCTGGTCGCTGTCTCTTTCTCGGCTGCCTACTCTCGGCCTCCGGCATCGCTCCCCTCCGGCATCTGACCTGCATGTTGCTCACATCTTTTTTTCCTTTCCTTTTCTTTTCGGCTACCTCCCTTCCTCCCTCTCTCTCTCCCCCGGACATTCCTCGCACATCAGCATCCCTCAATTGCCATTCGCGACCTGAGCTCCTTCACCCTGGCGCTGGTGTGCATGCAGTCGCTGTACTCGCCACTGCGTGCCCTGCCACCGGGACTCCAGGCCACCAAGGACATCTACCGGCTGACATTCAACCTGCCAGCCGTGTCCACCTATGAGGCGACCATCTGCCAGCGTGTGAGTGCATGGCAGACGCTGGTCAGCCAGCGGAATGCCTCGCGCGCGCCATCCAGCGGGGAGTTCCTGTGGAGCGCATTGTCCTTCTTCTATTCGTCCGACACGCCGAAGGCCAGCTCGCCGGCCGGGTCGCGCGGGACCAGCCTCTCCGGGGACCCGGACGCGGCGGCCGACGCATCCGCGGCTGCCGGCGCCGCAGCCGGCAATGCCGCCACATATGCCCTGTATCCGGCCCTGCCAGCCTCCGCTGGCAATGATCGGACTCTGTCTGAGGATGCCAATGGCCAGCTTGAGGGTGCGGCTGCTGACAAGACGCGCCGGATCGTGGCCACTTGGGACTTGGGCGGGCTGCTGAGCCAACTGTCACAGACGCTGGTGTCGGCTCTGCGTGGCTCGGGCCACCGGAGCTCCCTGGATTTGGACGATTTGTTGGCGGTCCTTCGGGCTTTGTGTGCCGCGGTCCGGGGGCGCCTTTCCCCCTGTGGGGTGTTGACTCCGGCGCGCAAGCTGGCCGCTGGCCCGGGCGCCGGGAAGAAGTCCTCCATGGGACGGTCGCAGTCGCGCTCGCGCGCTTCTTCCGGGTATCTCCCGCGATTGGCCGGGGAGACGGTCCCCGGAGGCAGTGGCCCCAGTTCGGATGCCAGCTCCGCGTCGTCCTCCTCGCTGGCTCTTTCCGGGGCCGAAACATTGCCGGATTTGCCGCCCTCCCAGCAGTCGACCGCCAGGCCGGGATCTCCCCGTCCGGAGCTGCAAGTGGTGGTGAGCGATGTGCCACCGGCAACGGGCGCCGACAGCCCTCCGGCGGGGGGGGCCCCTGCCCCGCCGGAGATGCTGGCCCTGCCAATGGCATCGATCGAGACGGTCGAAGTGTCCACTTCCGCCGAGCCGGCGGCATCGCCCGGGGCCGCTTCGCCGACCGGCGCCGGGAGCTCGTCCACTGCGTCGTCATCCTGCTCTTCGCTGGCGGCGACAAAGGCCCTGGCATCGGGTCCCGCCCCGGGGGCCGGCCTGTCCCCGGCACATGACGATTTTGCTCCCTTTGTGTCGCCCTTTGACTTGGACTTGATCCCGGAGGGTGGCGCGGCGCTGGTTGACGGTGAGCCGGGTGCCCCGGCGGCCGCCTCGGCCAAGGTCCCGGCATTGGACTTTGTGCTGGTGCAGCAATCCTTCGATGAGCCTGCCGCAGCCTTCTTCCTGGAGCAAGTGTATCACCTTGTGTCGGCGACGGCCGCCCTGCCGGACCCGAGCACCCCCGGCCAGCCGCTGATCTTCCGCACGTGGCCCGTGGTGCAGCAGCTCTTTGTGGATGTCCTCTCAAGCGGCACGCCCGACGGGCAGCCTGACGCCGATGCCGATGCCGCCCTGGAGTGGCCGGCCGGTTTGGTGGATCGTGTTCTCTTCTGCTATAGTGTCCTTCTGGAGGAGTGTCTGCTGCCATTGGCCGCGGCCCACCGGCCGCACTTGGCCCCGGCGTCGGTGCGTGTGTCGGGTGTTTTGCTTTTGTCTCTGGCTCTTCTTCTCCCCTGTCGCGTCCCTTCGCCTGCCTGCCTGACGGGGAGCCAACAACCACTGACACCGGTCTGCGCATCGGCCTTCCCGCCAGTTCGCCACCTTCCTCGAGGCCCTGCGCGCTCGTGGCATCGCCCAACGATTCAAGCCCCTGGTGGCGGCCAGCCTGCATCGGCTGCTTTCCCGGCATCGTGACGTGCTCCTTCGGCCGACCGATTCTGCGACCCCGGCGGCCGGCCTGGCACCCTGTCCAAATATCCGCCTTCCGCTGTTGGAACTGCTCCAGGCGGTGTGCGATGACCCGCTGGCGGCCAGTCACATTTTGGCCCTGCTGGAGGAGACGCTGTCCAGCCAGGCCACGAGCGCCGGGTTCTTCGACCCGACAGCCGGCCCGCCGGTTTCCGATCGCCATGCCTTCCATTATGGGAATGTGCCTGATACCCTGAGCATGACCATCGGCCTGCTGCTTGGGATATCGCTGGGAAGTTTGCCCATGGCTGGGACCAGCTCCGGGAGCACCACTCTCCCTGCCATGCCGCCTGGGACACTGGACATCCAGCCCCCCGGGTTGGGCGAGCGCTTCGCCACGCCGGCTCGGCGGTCGATGGTTGCGCTGGCCCTGCTGAGCCAGGTTCATGACCGTCTATCGACGATCGGTGCGTGGGCGTTTCCTGCTGGACCTGCCTCTCTGCCATACCCTCCTGCTGGGCCTTCCCCCCCCCCCCATATGGCCCTCTCCGCTGCTCCGGTCTTGCATGCATGCACCCACCCACACACACACACACACACACACAGCCCCCTCTTCCCCAAATCTATCTCACCCTGACTCTCCTCTCGCCCGGTCGTTGCCGCACATGCGCCCGTGCTTCCACACATGCAGCCCCTTTGGCTCTTGGATTTGATGAAATCTTCCGCCGGTACCAGTTGCCAATCCTGTCGGGCCTGTCGCTGAATTCCTTCCAGACCGATTGCTTGGTTCGGCGCGAGGCCGTCACGCACCTGGAGAGCTGCGTCCTGTCCAAGAGCAGCGTCCAGCCGTCTCTGTCCTGGCGGCCAAGCTCTCCGGATCCGAGCGACGAGCCGCCTGCCGCGAGCCAGCCCACCCGGGCGCCCCTCTCGTCGGATGTCTATTCGGCTTGCCTCAATAAGCTTCTTTTCCCGCTGGTCGACGGGCTGGCTCTCTCCTCGCCGGACGCCTTCATCGATGCCGCTTGCTCCTTTGCTCGGACGCCGGCCGGTCCACTGAAGGCCGCCTGGCGGGCAACCGCCCGGTCGGATGGCGATCAGCTCGGCGAGCAGCGTGTTCGTCTGACCAAAATCCTGGAAACCTTCTTCCTCAAGTACCTGGCCATCCTCTCCTGGCGGCCGGACTTCCCGGACCTGTGGCAGGCGGTTCTCCGGCGCTTTTCGGCGTATGTTCAGCAGCCGGGAGCCCACTTGGCCCTTGGATCCATGGCCCCCGGGGCCGGTGGCGGCCCATCCGGATCCGCTGCGAATGACCACCTCCTGGACAAGGTCCCGGAATCGGTCAAGAACATGATCTTGGTCATGAATGCCCTCGGGGTGTTGGTCCCGCCGAGCCCGGTCCCCGGGCATGACGCCGCCGTCCTGGCGCAGCTCCAGCATCCGGCATCCGATGGCGGCCCCGGGACCGGGACCTCGGCGGCCCCGGGGCAGCATCCTTGCCCGCGGCCGGACGTCTGGCACGCCACCTGGGAGGTGATTGCCCGGGCCTTCCCCCGGCTGATGGACAGCCTCGGACCCCTTTGGTCACAGGCAGAGGCAGCGACGGCGGCGGCGACGGCGACGGCGACGACAATGACGGCAACGATGACGGCCGCCCGTCCCACCTCGCCTGCCCCTCTCGCTGCCAACGGTGCCTCGATGGAGGCTCCCTCTGGCTCGGGACATGCGCCAGTTGCCGCCATGGCTCCTGCGCAACCCCCCGTGGCTGCTCCTCCCTCCGCGGAGGTTGCCTCGAATCCCGGGCAGACCCTTGTGAGCGCCGGGCATGTCGCCCGTGTGTCGGCGGATGGACCTCTTGAACAACAGCCGCAGCTGCCGCAGCAACCGCCGCAGCTGCAACAGCAGCAACCACATCTGACCAATGCTCCCCATCTGAGCCCAAAGGCCGACATCTCCCAGTCAGCCGATCTGCTGGTGGCCCCTCCGCCCTCCGGACCTCCGGCTGCAGGCCCACCCCCCGGCATGATGGTCGCTTTGCCCTCCAACGCGGCCATCAACATGGCTCAGGCCCCGGGAATGATGCCTGCCCCGGCTGCTGATGCGACGGCTGGTCCGCAGCTGCTGCCGATGTCAGCCCCGACGATGGTGGCCCCCCCGCCGCCTGTGTCGGCTCATGCTCCGGCGCCCGTGGCATTCATGCCGCCGGTGCCTGGCAATGTGGCCCCGAATGGTGTCTACTTTCCGATCCCCATGATGCCGCCAAACTCCTCGCCCTACCCCCTGCCGGTGGGTGTCCCTCAGTTTGTCCCGTACCTCGCGCCAGCTCAACCGGCTCAGCACCCGCAGCAGCTCCCCCATGCAGCCGGCGTGAATTCGATGGTTGCCCCCCCGCCGTTGCCCCAAGCGATGCTCGGCTCCACCGGACAACTTCCTGTTCCTCCTCCTCCTCCTCCCCCTGCCTCCCAAGGCCAATGAACACAACTCCCGGCTGGAGGATAGGCAAGCTCTTTCCTCGATGCCGATTTACACGCCCACCCAACTACAATACACAGCACACTCACACATGCCGCGTCACACACCCACTGCGAGGCCCGGGGCCATGTCCCCGGCGCGGGAAGCCAACAATACTTGCGCGCCCACCCTCTCCTCACCCCCAGAACCAAGGTCAACATCAAATGTTCACCCGAATATCTGGCAGCCAATTATGTCTGACAATAGCTCTTGATCTCGAAGTGAACCTCAAATTTATTTTAGGAGAGCGTGTCACGTGAATGGGTTCTCAGCCGATCCATGGTCGATCGCTCTTTGGCGATGGACTTCCTGCTCTCTTTGTTTTTTTTCTTTCATTCCCTCCTGTACACTGAGTCCAAACGGAGGGAGTACTACC